AAACGTGCTAACGATCGTCTGCTGAAGTCTGGTCAATTCGTTTCCTTCCAGAGACGCGGAATTTCATCGTCTCGTTGTATAGTCGGTCGAGGAAATGTGGTAAGATCAAAGTTTAGGTGTTTGAGACACCTGAAGTCTGTCTCAGCTTTGATTTAGTCTTGCTTGAATTTACCACCTCGCTGTATTTCTTCCATTGACTATACATTTGAGATAACGTTCCTAGAAAATGCTACTCGGACGTTGTTTTACCTTCTTCGAGGCACTCGAAGTGCAGTTTAAAGGGAAACATTAGCGTTCCAATGGAGTAGCATCGTCGGAGTGGCGCTTTTCTCTGGATTTCTCGGATGGACTTCCGCAAGCAAGGGCCAAAAGAGACGACAGAAAAGATCAGAGGGGCGGAAAGAGACGGGCAAACAGAGAGAGCGAATCCGGAGTCACACGGCAATTTGGCGACATCCGCCATAGGCCGCACTTGTACGCGATCCAATTTAAAGTCACGAAGCCGTACGAGCCCGGCCATTCTTTCATTCGTACGCGTAATACGTATACACGTTCATCCATTCATTGGCTTTGGCCACGTACGCGACCAGAGAGAGAGAGAGAGAGAGTGAGGAGAGGAGAGACAGACAGGGAGACGGAGGAGACCTGACTTTGTTTTTATTTGCCGTTTACCGTCTCTCTACTAGCGAGCCAGTGAACAGGCACCCCGGGGACGGCAGCGGAAGTACTTTCATTGTGCCGGGGGACCGGCGTCCCTTTATTTTCGTCTCCGACGTTCGCCTATGTTAATAAACGTTCGACGATGCTCTCCCCGACGAACTTTTAAATTCGCGCTGCAACCGACGAATGCGCCGATTATCCCCGTGGCTATGGAACACAACAGCTCCAGATCAGATGTATCTAAGAGGAGACGAGCCAGAGAACATATCCGGAAGTTCAGCCACTTAAAATTGCAATTATTCAATTTAACAATGTGAGACCGAGATTTGAACGTAGGTTTTAATGTATTGGACGTCTAGTCGAGAAATCTTTAAGGGGTTGTTGCTCACCTGGTCGATCTTGCATCGTACTCCGCATCCTACCTCCGAGCTCGAGTCGTCCGTTCGATTCTGAAAAAAAGTGAATAACAAGTAGTTCAACTGACATTCATATCGTAACGACAGAATTTTTTAACGAAACATGCAAAAAATTGACGGTCGGCTGCGATCTTGATCGCGACTTTAACACGCGATGATTGAAATTCACGAACGAGCAGGTGACACGAGCGATACTCTCGAGTAAATATGATCGTTATGGTAATTAAATATGCACAAAGACTAGTTCACTCCCGAAATTCCCATGGTGGTACGCATGGCTTCACACCCTTGTTATCCGCGCTGGAATTGTCCGCCACCCTCGAGAACTAGCCGATTCCTCGAACGCGTTTCACCGTTCTTTCTTTCTTTCTTTTTTTCATTTCAACAAATTTACTTTCGTTTCCATTAAAACCCGGACGCGCACCTGTGTACCGGAAACGCATAACGTACAGGTGCAAACGGTGTAACGAGTGTGTTATCTGAAACGGTACCGGGTAGACCTGCGACTTGGCACGATCATTCGGCGATTCATTCGCGACGGGCTAGGTATACCGGGGGTGTCAATTGAACCGGATGAAACAATTTACTATCTTTTAAAGCTGGCAAGCGATTCAATTTATTTTCTGCGGCCCCTGCACGCTACGTGGCCGTGTCGTTGCCGCCATTCGAATCGCACTTTTTTTTTCTCCGATACGTTCGCCCGAGTAAACGAATCTTCTACGAACAACTTCTCCGATAGGTGTAAGAAGATGTTGGAAATTTGAAAGATGAGAATTATCGCGCAGCTTTTTAATACGATTCGCATGTTACAACATGTCTGGATATTATCCTTCGTGTGCAGCGATACTGTAAATGGTACGTGAGCAAGAAGATTAACCGTTTTACGTAAACGTGAGGAAACGTTTCACCGTGAACGTCTGAGGTTCTCTCTGTTTTCCCATCGGAAACAACAGAAAGCACCACGAATGACGAGTCGCGTGATAACGAAATGCTGGAGGAGACGGTGCAGTGTTTTCGCGACTATCGCCTTGACGGCGTGGATGTATCAATTTTACGAGGAATTTTTTTCCACTCTCTTCTTTCCATTGTCGAGGAATCTCTCTCGTTGTTCGTTCCTTGTGCACCCGATTAATCAAACCGCCTAGACTGCTTTACACACCATATGAAATGGTACCGACGACAATTACCATTCTCTACACGATAGAATATTCTCGGTAAAATAATTCTTCCGTGTATAATTGATTAAATCTACGTCTCGTCGTGTGTCGTTGGATTTTAAACAGTCACTCCGTTTTATTGCCTACGCCTCTATCCTCGCTTCCTGTTCCCACCGCAAACTAGCCACGCCAGGTTGTCCATCTTCCGAGACGGAAATCAGCCGGTAAAGAGCTGTTTTATCTGATCTAAGGTAATCGTTTAATGTCTACCTGCTCGTCCTTCCGCACGTCCTTCCGTCGTGTTCAACGTCTTTGCCACGCTTCGAAGCGTTCGCCAACTGTTGCACCTCCAACAGCCATTGATGATTGAGTCTAATGACCGACCACCACACTGTGTGTCTTCCCTGCGAATCCACACACGCGAGACAGATTTTTATCGAAGGTTCTTCCTTCAAGGTTTCCGCGGATCGTGGTCATTTTGGCGTAAATTTCTGCTCGTGCGTCTTCAGCTTGTAGTGATTCCGTATGTACTCGAGTTTGTTACGTAAACGTTGCTACACGTGAAGCTTATTATCTTTGCAACGAAAATAAATCGAACGTAGATTTGTTTGCCACTAGTTCAATTTTTGCTTTCAAAGTTACACAAACGACGGTGTAAACAGTTTAATAAAAACAGAAATCCAAAAAATTGTGAAATTGAAGTTTGTAAACAGAATGAAAGTTACGGTGTCGGATCTGTCAGGACCCGGCGGAGTGTCTCAGAGTTAACCGTGCTAATCCCTCAGGTAGAACCGCAAACAGGTGAAAAATTCACTGAAATCTACGTCAAACATCTCAAAATAATTCGAGTCCGAGAGGCCTTTGACACGCTCAAAGCGTCCTAGGCTGTTTCAAGTTGAAGGCAAAGGGTATCAGGTTTTTTCGTGCGGTCTCCAACAAGCCACGGTCGCACGGTGTTGAATGTACACCGGACGGTGTCCACTCGGATGGAACATCTACCTTTGAAGTCTGAGGTTTGTCTTTGGCAAACACCTTAACGGTCTCTCTCTCTCTCCTCTCTTCTCTCTCTCT